CTCCTCTTCCTCTCCTTCCTCCTCCTCCTCCTCCTCCTCTTCCCCTCCCCCCTCCCCCTCCCCCCTTGCATCCTCGAAACCCTTCTTTCACTCCATTCGTCTCGTCCGTTTCCTTCCCACCGCCTCTCACGGCAAAACCCCATGATCGAAAGAAAAGAAAACCGCGTGAGAAGTTAACCGTTAATTATTGCCGTTAATTATCTCGTCCTCGACTCGCCTAGCGTTTTCGCGGTCTTAGAAAACCTTCCGAATCCGGGCCGTTCTTGTAAGTCGGCAGACGGACGAATGCGGTTAGGCGTCTGACCTTGGCTTTGATTTCGTCTTCTCTCTTTCTTTCTTTTTTCTCTCTCTCTCGAATGTGATTTATTTTTATTATTCCTCTCTCTTATCATCATCCAATCTTTCCAATTTTTCTCTATCTTTTTTCTTTCTCTCTCTCTTCCTTAATCTCCTCCCCGCTTCTAAAACACCTCTTTAACATAAGCCATCGACGTGGGGAAAAAAAAAGTATTTTTGAGGCGCGTCGCTTGCGGTTTACGAACGGCGTGGCTGAGCGAGGCATCCAGCAACAGCACGTTCGTATAAGCGGACGTGACTTGATGACGTCGACCTAACACGTTCTCGCTCGCTCAATGGAGAGAAAATTACATGAGGAAGAGAGACATCTCGTTATGGAATCTTCATCAATTTGTAAATCTTTTTTCTTTTTTTTTTTCTTTTTTTTTGGCCAGGGTGTGGGGAAAAGTTTGAGAGATTTGAGCAGAGAGATTTCCTGCGTGTTGATATGCATGCATGCATATACACGCGCGCGAGCTCATATGCATACGGTTTATACATATACCGGACGTAGCCTGAGGATAGTGGTTATCATTTCTTTGCGGGAAATGTGATTGTCTCTTTTTGTATATCATCTGTCTGTCTGTCTGTCTTTCTATCTATCTCTCTATCTATCTGTCTATATGGCTGTCTTCTCTCTCTTTCTCTAACTCTCTCTATATATCTATCTATTTCTCTTTCTCTGTCTACCTTTATCTCTCCGCTTTCTTTCTCTCTCCTCTCTCTTTCTCTCTTTCTACATTTCTCTGCCTGTCTGTCTGGCTACTTTTTGTTTCTATGTCTGTATTTCTTTTTCTCTCTCTTTCTGATGACGAAAACCTTATTTTTTTTAAGACGAATAAATTAGAAGTTACTAAAAAAAAAACACACAATAACCCACCAACAAAAATAACAATAACGAGATAAAAATCAAAGATACAAAAAAAGAAAAGAAAAGAATAGAATAGAGAACAAATAGAAAAAAAGTAGAAGAAAGGAGAAAAAAATACGGTCATATCGACAGTCATCAGAGCTATTCTCCTTCTAAACTGACCTCTGTTGTGTGAAGAAACAGGTCCATATTTTCCCTTTGATCTACGCCACTTCGAGATTCATCTGGGCGCGGGCGTTCGGATGCTGTGGGTATTTTTCTTGGGATTTCTGTGTCTCGTTTTCTTTTTATTCTGGTTTTCTGTTGGGGAGGGAAAGGGGGGGGGGTTGTTTGGTTTTGTAGAATAAAAAAAATGTGGTTTGGTTTCTTGTTTTGTGTTTGTTTTTGAGTGTTTTTGGTGTTTGTTTTTCTAGTTCTTTTTCTCTGTTTCTAAATCTGTCTATGTCTCTCTCTCTCTCTTCCTTCCTTCCTTCCTCCCTCCCTCCCTCCCTCCCTCCCTCCCTCCCTCCCTCCCTCCCTCCCTCCCTCCCCCCCTCCTTGCTTTCGTTCACGACTGACATTGATTCTCGATCTGCCAGTTCACGAACTCATCCAGTTTTCTCCTTATATATATATATATATATATATATATATATATATATATATATATATATATATATATATATATATGTGTATATTTATATATAAATATATAAATATATATATAAATATATGTATATATATATGCATATATAAATATATATATATATATATATATATATATATATATATATATATATATATATATATATATATGCATATTTATATATACATATATAAATATATATATAAATATATGTATATATATGCATATATATATATATATGTGAGAGAGAGAGAGAGAGAGAGAGAGAGAAATGCATACATGTGCAGGTATATATGTGTGTGTGTGTGTGTGTGTGTGTGTGTGTGTGTGTGTGTGTGTGTGTGTGTGTGTGTGTGTGTGTGTGTGTGCCGTGCGTTATTCGAAAAAGAAGAAAACTGGAAGAGAAATGGATCCGTTATCTGTTCACACTACCAAATGTTATCAGGAGAACGTGCCTGAAGGTAAGATTTCACTGCACCGGATAATACTTTCATCCTTTTTCTTTACTTTTCGTTTTATTCACCTCTTTTTCTTTTTTCTTTTCTCAGATTTCTTTTTTTTTTCTTATTCCTTCAGAGATTGGAAAGGAAATGCAGGAAAAGGGAAAGGGAAAAATGAACAAAGGCAAAAAAAACAAAGACAAAAAAAAGGAAGAAGGAAATTGTCTA